AGGGCCTCCATCCAGGATGAAGACAGTATCTCCAGGCTGAACACAAGCATGTTCTGGCTCCAACCCTAATTGGTGGGAATCAGAATGCTGATGACTGAGATTCCTAGAACACCACCCTGTTACCTCACCACCAACAGATTCAGAGGAAGTCACACACCCTACAGCCCTCTCCCCAGAACTTTTGTCTATGAAAACTCTTCCCTGAAAATTACCAGGCAGTTTGAGTCTTTGGAGCATGAGTTGTCCCATTCTCTTTGCTTGGCCCCTGCAGTGAACTTTTCTCTACTCCAAACTCAACGTTTGCTCGGCCTCATTGTGCATCAGGCACATGAACTTGGGTTCGACAGTAATACTACTTAGGGCTCTCACACATGTCGTGTTCTCTGCTTCGATCTTTTTTTTCACCCATAACTCTACCTGACTTAGCAATCTCCTACTTGTAAGCTTCTGAGCAGTTGTTTCCTCAAAAAGCCTCCCTCCTCCCACTGCCTATTCCCCACTCCACAAGCTAACTCACATCATTATGTGTTCTGACAACACAATACATCTTGTAACACTCATCACACCCAAAAAATAAACTTGTCCATTTAATGTCTGTCATCCCTTCCCACCCCTCCCCCTAAGAGGGAAGTGACATAAAAGCAGGGCCCAATACACAGCAAACATGCAATACACATTGATTGCAAAATAATTTGATGATAAAATATTCCTTTAGATAATAAGGTTCTGGTGCACTTTTAAAAATTAATCTGCACCCAACTTTTCAGAAACATGTACAATATTTAAAGGTACATGTAAGTAGACTCCGAATTAAAATACTCAAAATATAATTATTAAAAATAATTGCTAATATTTACTGAGCATTTACTAAATGCTAGAAACTACACTGAGCACTTGGAGGAGCAGCTGCCTGGATCCAGCTGAGCATTTCCACCTGAAAATACAGGCTTGGATGTTGCTATATCCTCTACTTTTACAAAAGAAATTCGAAATCCGGACTGTGTGTGAAATTTCCCTGATATGTCAACGCTGGCAACTCATTCAAACTTTTCAAACAATAAGGAAGCCGAATATGACTCCTCACCTAGTCTCTTCCCCTAGCCCCACACCACTAATCTCTATATGAGCCACACTAGCCACACTGAGTATTTCTCAGATCCTCGACAGTGCTGAAACCAACCACGATTCTGCACAGCCCTCCAGGGCACAAAACCCTTTTCTGTGTCCCAGTCCTTGTTTGTAGGAAAAAGGCTTTCCACCTCCAAGACCTTTCCTAAGTCCACAGGGCAGATTCAGTTACTGACCAGGGAAGTGAGGGAACAGCAGAAAGAAAGAACACAGCAGTGATCCTCCTCAGGGAGGTGCATAACAATATGACACATACCTCCAAGTTCTGACACAACTAGGGCCTCCATCCAGGATGAAGACAGTATCTCCAGGCTGAACACAAGCATGTTCTGGCTCCAACCCTAATTGGTGGGAATCAGAATGCTGATGACTGAGATTCCTAGAACACCACCCTGTTACCTCACCACCAACAGATTCAGAGGAAGTCACACACCCTACAGCCCTCTCCCCAGAACTTTTGTCTATGAAAACGCTTCCCTGAAAATTACCAGGCAGTTTGAGTCTTTGGAGCATGAGTTGTCCCATTCTCTTTGCTTGGCCCCTGCAGTGAACTTTACTCCAAACTCAACGTTTGCTCGGCCTCATTGTGCATCAGGCACATGAACTTGGGTTCGACAGTAATACTACTTAGGGCTCTCACACATGTCGTGTTCTCTGCTTCGATCTTTTTTTTCACCCATAACTCTACCTGACTTAGCAATCTCCTACTTGTAAGCTTCTGAGCAGTTGTTTCCTCAAAAAGCCTCCCTCCTCCCACTGCCTATTCCCCACTCCACAAGCTAACTCACATCATTATGTGTTCTGACAACACAATACATCTTGTAACACTCATCACACCCAAAAAATAAACTTGTCCATTTAATGTCTGTCATCCCTTCCCACCCCTCCCCCTAAGAGGGAAGTGACATAAAAGCAGGGCCCAATACACAGCAAACATGCAATACACATTGATTGCAAAATAATTTGATGATAAAATATTCCTTTAGATAATAAGGTTCTGGTGCACTTTTAAAAATTAATCTGCACCCAACTTTTCAGAAACATGTACAATATTTAAAGGTACATGTAAGTAGACTCCGAATTAAAATACTCAAAATATAATTATTAAAAATAATTGCTAATATTTACTGAGCATTTACTAAATGCTAGAAACTACACTGAGCACTTTGCATGCACTATATCTCGTTCAATAAAACAATCTGTAATCCAGAGGAAGCAACTAAAGCACAGAGTTTGAAAATCTGTTCCAAATCACATATTTAATCAATGACAAACTAGGGTATGAATCCATGCAGTCTGACTCCAGAGCTTAAGCACCTAACTACTACACTAAACTAAGTAATTAAGAAAAGTCAATTCAACAAGTATCTGTTAAATACTGTGAATAAGAAATAATGGCCAAGATTTATTTTTCATTACTTCTCCATTAAAGTAAGGCTCCTCATCCCTCTATCCTGCACTCTTCTCCACACACACAAAATTAAGATAAATCATCATTTGTATTTTCTCAACTAGGAAAGATGATCCTTTGACCACATCCCAAATAGGCATGAACTTAGTACCAAGTGTATCTTAAAATGCCATCATCCTGAATTACTTTTAAATATGTTAATGTTAATTCAGAAAGACAGCATTTTAACAGACAGGATGAGATGGTTGGATGGCATCATCGACTCAATGGACAAGAGTTTGAGCAAACTGTGGGAGGTAGTGAAGGACAGAAAAGCCTGGTGCTGTAGTCCACAGGGTGGCAAAGAGTCGGACACAACCAAGTCACTGAACAACAACATTAAAGTTTACACATTAATGTTTCATATTTTACATTGAAATCTGATTATTTGAATGATATACTATTTGGAATGTATTTTGTTGCTCAAATTAGAAAAATTACTTGTAACTATAAACTGTTTCCAGATATGGTGACGATCAATATAAAAATAAACTGACTTATCACATAAAACATGCTCAGATATAATAAAGGGATCCCTCAACACCTGAACTCTATCCCAATTCGTGCTTTCCGAAATTCAAGAACCAAACAGATCTGAATAAGCGTCTCCCATAAATGATTTGTCGTCCAGACTCTTACTACCCAAAACCTAAGATTTGGCTCACTCGCCATAACCTTGTTAAGAGAATTCAGTAACCAATCTCTCACTCCAAACTCAGAAATCCAACAGTTTTGTACAGCGAAACAAAAAGCATATGTATTCAAGGGCTATATAAATTTAAGAGTTCTTGTTTTAAGAGATTTAAATAGGTTTTTAAAATGTGGGAAAAAATGCACATATTGCACATATATGTATTTTCATTCAAATTTGAAATTGAAACTCCACTTAACATAATTTTTCTATGTGAACATTTTTAAACTAGAATGTGCCACATTTCTTAACCTTTAAACCAGTTTAAAATATAAAGGAAACTGTTAAGTATATGACAGATAACTATAAGAAAGTTAAATAATGTTAATTTGTGGCTTCAAAGAACTATGAAGTCAGTCTTAGCATCTTTTTAAAAAAAAAATACTTATCATTATAAATACTATGGGAAATAAGATTTTCAAGGAAAGCAGTACTTTCAGTGTTAATTTTTCAGCAACATATTTCACAGGTCACATCAGATTTTTCTCAAAGTCACAAAGAGCAAAGGACAAAATAAAAGAAACAAATTTAAAGAGTACAAAAGTTGAAGATGATGGCAAAAATTGCAAATTAATTTGGTTACAGACAAATGGTATGAAACAATTTTAGAAGTAACTACTCCATAAGGTTCAGCCAAAAGTCAAAGAAACAGCAAGCAAAGAACTAGACTGAGAAAAAGGAAAAACCAGCTCTCATTACAACAGTCCATTTTCCTAAAGTATTTAACTTCAGATAACATTTGCTCACAAGCTTTTTCGAAAACTTTGTGCTTGAGGAAAAGTCAAAACTAACATCAGTTGAGAACAGAATATAAGCCTTTTTTTTTTTTCAAACACACTCAAAAATTAATTTAAGAAATGGAGCAAACGGGGGAAGATGGAGCAGGGGAAAAAAAGAAAACAAAACTGTAGGTTTGAAGAAAGCAAAACTACTTTCCTAGATTCTTCTTTGGATACAATAAAATATTTAAAGAGAGCTAGAGCTCCCATTTTATCCTAATTTGGATACATTCTCCCAAGAGCTCACTTCAGATTTAGTGACTGGAAAGAATGTGAAAACCCTTTAATTAAGCAAATTTCAAGAGTTACTTGACACACAGTACCTTCCACAAAGAAGGGGGAAGAAAAAGGTCAGAACAAAATTATATTTAAAAACATAACCAAATCTTGTCTACAAGACTCACAAAGTGAGTGACTTAAGATTCAGTGAGATCTTTAACTTAACTGATTCCACACAGAGCACCAAAATACATCTACTGTGCCTGTGCCTGTTCTACCAAAATGCTTAAGCTTCACTGCTGAGGTTAACTACCAGCCAGAGAACGAGAGCCCTTTGAGAGACAACAAATCCATAGATGTCCGGATTCCATGGATCCATTTCACAGGGTGGCACAGTGACATAAAGCAACACCTTCTTAAGAAATGAAGGCACGGCCTATTTCACTATTTCTTCAGGTAAGTTTTCATACCTCCACTCCCAACTGTTCACATCAGACCCAACACCCCTGAACACAAATGTTCCTCCTACATAAAAGGAAGGAGCTGGACTTTGGATGGGGCTCTGGAGTCCTTCCAGTTTGTGGTTCTCTATTTAACTAGCTGTGAAATCACAATACAGCTCTCACAACTCAGGGAAAGTTACATTTAACTGCCCAAAAATAACAGATCTGATGCAATAAACCATACCTCGCTCTGCCAAACGTTAATACCAGAACTTCTGAAATAAACAAACCTGTGTCTATGCTCATCTGGTCCATGGATCAGGAAGATTCCAGAGTGTTTCGCCCCTTTGCCAGCATCTACATGAGGAATTAACACATCTTCCAAACCCAGATCAAAGCGTTTGTGTTTTGAAGAGTCTGGAAGAAAGAAGAATGCCCCAAAACACAGGGTGATGAAGGCACTTAGAATAAGGAGGAGGATAAACTTCTCAGAAAGTCTCAAGGTAGCCCTGTGATGCGGGAAGGAAGGCGGCCCCAGGTTCAGAGGAGGTATCCTTCGTCCAGAGAGGGGTAGCAGCGCTGGGGTAGTCATCGTTTAAGCTCTTGGGCAAAATATTTTATAAAGTTCTCATCTTATATCAAACGTACGATACATTGAAGAGTCTTCGGAATCTTGGCAAAAATGGGAAAATCCAATTTTTCTCCTCTTAAAGGACTGTTGTGCTTTTCAATAGGGCACCTCTTTCACGCTCAATCAATTACATGCAGAAACGCGTGTGGCCCCAAAACGATCACTAGGTTAAGTCCTGTGATATTTTTCTTTGCCATCTGGCTTTCGGTACCTCACCGGGTGATTACAAGTCTCCTCTTCATTCCCAAGGGTAGATCAGGCTAGCAACACCGCAGAAAGGATGCAAGGTGGGCTCTTCCATTCCTGCACCTCCTGGAGATGCTCCAACGTGGTCTCCCGCCCCAAAAGGGAGACTGACGTGATCCGAGGAGTTGTAGAAGGTTCACTTGGGCTCCTCTGATGCTTCGACTGGAGAATTTGTTAATCTCAGTGGTGGAAAAACAAGGGGCTCTTCGGAAGTCGGCCAACAGAGAGGAGGGGTCTCCCGCCTCAGCGCGAAGCCAAAAGAGCGACGCTGGGTGAAAAGCAGGAAAGAGGGCTCCTACGCCCGCGCCTCCCGACCCTTCCCCCCGGCTCTGAGGGCAGGCGACAGCTCCGACGTCGCCCCCTCGACAGTCGGCGCGAAGGGCATTCGCGTCCAAAATACCTGCGCCCTCCCAGCCGCGGCCGCTGTTGCTACCGCTCGGATCTGTCAGCGAGCGGAACTTCCTCCTCCGCGGCCACTGAGAAGCCCCTGCGTGTGCTGGGGGAGGGGAGGTGCGTCGACCGCCCCCGCCCGGCTCCTCCTCCTCTCGGCGGCCGGTTAAGTTAACCCTCTCCAGCGCCGCCCTCCCGCCAGCCGCCGGCGCGCCCCCCGGAAGCGTCCTGCCGCCGACGTCTGGGCGCTTGGGGGGAGAAGGTCTCCAGTCCGCGCTTCAGTGATAACTTCACCCGTGCCGGGCTTTGCCAGCGTCATTCGTGGGACTGACCGAGCGTTTGGGGCGGGGCTGGGGAGTGTTCAGGTCACCAAGGCTTCGCTGCAATCAAATTACTGGGACTCAAAGAATCTGATGGCCAAGGTTAACGATTAATCTTGCTCTGTGGAAATCATGTCTTCAGTTGTGGACTGTTGATCCCTTAGGGCTCAAAGACTGGGTCTCCAACTTCTTTGCAGCCCCTATGCACGTCGTTGGGCACCCGAGGCTCAAGTCATCTCTGTTGAGCATCAACCAAGTGCCTGGCTCTGTGTTTAAAATGGCGACCTTTCATTTAGGTGTCCTGGTTGAGGAGTCTCCAGCAGCAGCCCATATGACCCCACAGGACAGCAGCCTCATCGTCGTTCAGTTTCTGAAAGACCTTCTCCCAGCATCTCCTTCACACTCACCACCACCGCTCCTGCAAAAGAGATAATAAGTATAAACGAGGAGGTGCTAGAACCCCAAAAGACAACCATATTGTTTAAATTAAGCCTGAAAGGCAACCTGAGTTGATTTCTGTTATCCATAGTGTTCAGAACCATGTTGTGATTGGTGATGGTGGTTTAGTCGCCAAGTTGTCTCCGACTTGCGACCCCATGGGCTGTAGCCTGCCACGCTCCTCTGTACATGAGATTCTCCAGGCGAGAATACTGGAGTGGGTTGCCATTTCCTTCTCCAGGGGAGTCTTCCCGACCCAGGAATTGAACCCTGGTCGGTCACCTGAATTGCAGGCAGATTCTTTACCAACTGAGCTATGAGGGAAGCCCCCGTGTTGTGATTAAGAACAAAAAATTTATATGATACACAAATACTCTTCCAACTTTGAGATTGTGTTTGATATTAAGATGTCATTCCCTCTACACATCCTTAGTGATAACTGGGAATTGGAAAGGAGTCCCTTAAGTGGCAGGGACAAAAGGTCAGCCTTAGCTAAAAATCAAACAAAAAATCCTCATTCATTGGCACGGTTCAAAGTACATTCCAGTCTGCACTATTTCCAGAAGTTCTGCATATCTAACTACCTACCATATGACAAAAGAAGTCATTGTCATTGATTCACCAAGTGAAACAAAGACATAAAAATGTTATGTGCCACCTCTCACCCATTCAGGCTGGCAGCCCAATCCAAAGTGAGATTTGTGTTGGACACTTGTGAAAAGTAGATGTAAAAAATTCCCTGCCTTCCCAATGTGTCTTTATAAAGTGTGCCAATTTTATGAATAAGTTTCTAATGCTGAGCCTGTCTGTAAGCCAGAGAAGAAACCCGTGGGTTTCCAACTGTTGAGGTCATTACTTTCCATGGAAAGATCAGGGGAAATAAATTTGATTTCTAAATGAAATAGCAAGTTATATAATCCTTGAAGGATAAATATTATCTAGATCAACACCAAATTGTTAACCACAGTCATATCAATCATGAAACCTGCTTTAACCTAGTAGACAAGTATGACTCATAGCTGGTGGAGAAGACTTACCTGTGTCCCCCTCTCTTGCCCTTGCCTGTTTTGCAAAATTCACTTTTCCTTCAGGAGAGTAAAAACATCATTTCTTAAATTAGAGGTTATTACAAATGCAGTCTGCAATTCTAAGGCCATTGATGATGCTGTTGATATCTTACTGTAATCCTACACAAGCATCAAAAAGTGTGTGTTTTCATTCTAGAGACTAGTCCCTGAAATGATTTTTAAAAGAATCAGTATTGTTTTGTTGATCTTTAAAAGCAAGTCAAAAATATATTCGTAAATTATGACTACAAGTATATAAAAGTATGTGTATAAAAAATTTAAAGGGAATATTTGAAGAAGACTCTAGCTGTTGTTAGCTATCAATCACTTATCAATCACTTATCAATCGTGAAACCTGCTTTAACCTAGTAGAAAAGAAATGCAAAAAGGCAAAATGGTTGTCTGAGGAGGCCTTACAAATAGCTGTGAAAAGAAGAGAAGTGAAAAGCAAAGGAGAAAAGGAAAGATATTCCCATTTGAATGCAGAGTTCCAAAGAATAGCAAGGAGAGATAAGAAAGCCTTCCTCAGTGATCAATGCAAAGAAATAGAGGAAAACAACAGAATGG